AATAGTTAGGGAGAGAGAGGCAAACCATGAGAGACTCTTGAATGCTGAGAATAAACTGATGGCTGATGAGGGTGGGGAAGAGAGGAAGGGGGGTGATGGACATGGAGGAGAGCACTTGTAGGGATGAGCACTGGGTGTTATATGGAAACCAACTTGACAATAAACTATTTAAAAAAAGATCAAAGGGAGGAAGAGAGGAAGAAAAGACAGGTAGTGGAAGTGTGCCCATTAGAACTTGAACTTTGTCTTTACAAAATTAAAAATAGTCCATAATTGAAGAAGTCTGAATAGTGACTCATACAGGCAACAAATTAACTGGCATTAAAGAATTATCTTCCATTAAAAAATTAAAATTAAGAATTTAAAATTTTTTTAAAAACTTCAGTGTTTAAACTATCATGCTGTTTGGTCACAATATCACATCTTTATTGTTTAAATGATTGTCTTTTCAAGAAATAACCATGGTTTCATTCCTGAATACTCCAATGTTTTCATTTATTACATATGCATACTAGCACTTTTTTTTCAGTTATCTGTAAAACATTGTTCTTTGGTGACATTTTTTGAAATATGAAATATATAATCATGTAAAATTCACTTGATTTTTTAAAGCTGTAATGCCATTTTAGATTTAGAGTCTTCTTGAAAAATAAAATTTAAGACTGCTATTTCATTTTTAGAGCAATTGAATAATAGCAAATACCTACTAGATATTATTCACTTCAATCTATTCATTATAAAGAATGAACATTAGCCCAGATTCTAAAGCTTACCCCTATATTATGAAAATTTTTTCTTCAAAATAAAATGACATGCATTTATTATAGGAATCATGGAAAATAAAGGTATAAAGAGAATTTTAAGTCATATGACATTTCTGAATGAAAGTTTTTGTTTCTCTAAGCTAATTCAAATATATTTTCCTTGGTATTGAGAAGCTGTAAAGGTTTCATAAACCCTACTAAGAGTTTAGAGAGATGAATATCTATACTTTTTTTCATTCACCAGGACTAATTATGAATAGATATTCTTCATACAAGGGGATGAGTTGAATAGAATGTGTCTACCTAAATGTTATTAGAGAGAATATATCTATGTGGTAGAACTTTTTAAAAAATATTTTTTGCTTTATTTATTTCTGAGAGAGACAGACAGTGTGAGCAGGGGAGGGTCAGAGAGAGAGGGAGGCACAGTATCTGAAGCAGACTCCAGGCTCTGAGCTAGCTGTCAGCAGAGCCTGTCACAGGGCTCAAACCCACAAACTGTGAGATCATGACATGACCTGAAGTCGGACGCTTAACCGACTGAGCCACCCAGGTGCCCCTATATAGTAGAACTTCTATACCAGAAATGGTTTAAAGTAATTGCTACCAACTCACGTCAGAATAATAGGAAGAAAATGACATATACTCACTGTGTTGAAATTTGTAGGAAAAAAAAATGTTCTTGGAAATTTCCCATTAAATGTTTAATTTCAAAGGCAAAGTAAAATTTCATTCTCATTAGGATACCTATTACTTAAAAAGACAGACAGACAGACGACAGAAAGAAAGAACAAAAGAATGAATGAATGAAAGAAAAACAAGAAACTAACAAGTGTCGGTGAAGATGTGGAGAAAGTGGGGCCTTCATACAGTCCAAAAACAAGTTCAAAGCTCATAAATTTTGAACTATTTTTCAAGGTTAAAAATAATTTGATGACAAAAAAATGCACCTAATATATATCAAGTTTTTTTTACTGTGATATGATCAACAAAGAAGAGTAAGCCAAATGAGAGCTTCATACTCTGTTAATTTAATCAGTTTCAATGTGTTTAGAACATATAAAAATCACTAATTTTGTCTTCTCCCTTTTGGTAAACACATCTAAGCTAGTGAGAGGCACATTGATATTTCCTGTCAGACAAAATTATGTGGAAAGATGTCAAAAGTAGAGAAGAGATATGTGGTACCTTCTCTCATAACTAAAATATATTTTAAAAATAAATTTAACATTTATTCATTTTTGAGAGAGAGATAGACTGCGAGTGGGGGAGGGGCAGAGAAAGAGGGAGATGCACAGTCTGAAACAGGATCCAGGCTCTGAGCTGTCAGCACAGAGCCCGACACAGGGCTTGAACCCATGAGTGGTGAGATCATGGCCTGAGCTAAAGTTGGACAATTAACCGAATAAGCCACCCAGGTGCCCCCTAAAAAATATTTTAAAATATCATTTGGTACCGAGAATATAATGACATGAACTGATTAAAAACCCTTCATCTCAATACCATCTCTTTGCATCACATGCAGTACATTTTTTATGGAATGTATAAGTGTAAGAATATCTACACACCTAATGACTTGATTAGAATTAAAGCATTTGCAACTAACAAAGACCTTTGTGATATGATAGAGGAGCTAAAGCAAATGCTAATGAAATGGTTTTGAAATAAAAACAGGGAATGGGCTAAATGGGTGATGGGCATTAAGTAGGACACTTGTTGGGATGAGCACTGGATGTTATATGTAAGTGATGAATTACTAAATTCTATTCCTGAAATCATTATTGCACTATATGTTAACTAACTTGGGTTTAAATTAAATAATAAATTGTTAAATTAAATAAATAAAAATAAGGTAAAAATGTGGCAAGTCAAATTACACTCTGATACAGACAGAAGAACTATCAAGAGGTGCTGAGGAGGAGTAGATTAAGTGCTCACTTAGAGAAAACACAGGTTTCCCAGATGCCTTTATGCAATATTTGGACAAAATCCAAGATCAGCAAATACCTCAGCTACTTTCTTGGCTTATATATGGCTCCATACCTCACAACAATATGTACCAGAATGCCCAACTTTCTCATATTTTTCTTTTTCTTTTTTTTTTTTTTTAATATTTTTACTTTATTTCTAGGAGAGAGAGAGACAGCGTGAGCAAGGGAGGGTCAGAGAGAGAGGGAGATACAGACTCTGAAATAGGCTCCAGGCTCTGAGCTGGCTGTCAGCACAGAGCCCGACGCGGGGCTCGAACCCACGAACCGCGAGATCATGACCTAAGCGAGTCAGACGCTTAACCGACTAAGCCACCCAGGCGCCCCTCTCATATTTTTCAAGTCAGAAAAATGCATCTTGGGGATTAACATATATAGATTTCTACTGGAGGTCAGGCATGAAAAGGAGTGGTGATGAATACTTAAAATTTGACCTCATTTATTTTAGAACAGTTTAATTACCAAATATAATCAGTATTTTCTAATCACTTTGTAGCTGAAATCAAAGGTTCATGTTGAATCATGTTGAATGATTTAATAGACCATGATATAGGATTTATAATCTGCATATCCTTTTCCTACCACCGAAATACATATCTAAAGAAATAAGGTCAGGATAATGCAACTGTTTAAAAATAAAAAATCTTAACTATTGGCCAGAGATCTGCATCCATAAAGGAGGACATGCTCAGTAGTTATAAAACATATTTTCCTTTGAAGGTCAACTAACAGGAGAATAAGATATTTAGCAATTTATACAACTGAGAGCCATAAAAATGTGGGATATTATATCTTGGAGTAAAGATCAGACATACTGAGTTAAGTTGGTCTATGCAACCTTACTCAAAAGATTACCAAAAGAGACAAGCATTAGAATCTTCCAGAACTTTACTCTGACTTGAGTGATTTCTGAACCCATACACCTGAAACAAGGCAGGGAGGTAGAGATAGGGAGGATTATGGGAAAAGTGTGCAGAGAAGCACTCTCTAGCTGTGCAGCAGTGGTGGGTACTCTACTGAACCGAATGCCTACAGGAGTTAGCAGGCTCCAATGCAATTTCCTTTGAGTTTCCAAGAAAGTAATCGATCATTCTTTATTCGTCATTTCTGGGTGCAGAGATCATGCTCTGGTGAGCATGCCCATTTGTCATTAAGGTTGGCCTGGACAGTGGAGGGCAGAAAAGGGCAGCTCTGTTCCCACTCTGTCACACATTTGCCTAGAAGCTGCAGCTTTCCTACATTTTCTCTTAAAAATGTCTTTTTTCCCATCAAAAACTTTCAAATAAACATGTGGTGTATTATTCTAATGGATAAAGTCAATCAAATATATTCTAGTTATAATTGCATGTATTAAGTTCAAATAAGTCCACAGTATTGCCAAAATAGGTATTGAAATATGTTAAATGATATACGGTTTGCTTGTTTTCTGGGGGGGGGATTTTATTTAGATGTATATATATATATATATATATATATTTTTTTTTTTTTGCCTCAGGTTGAGTGACTAATTTCATGAGAAAATCGGCCAATTTGCTGAAACAATCCTTTCCATGAAAATGAGAAATCCATTTCCATATAATAGGAAGTCACATTAATTCCCTGTGACTTAGGTCCTTACACAAAAAATTGGAAAAAATGATGCTTTTTGCATGTTTCTCAGAGGTACTCCAGGTAGTAATGAGACAGTGTCTTTAGAACACTAGGCATTCCCTGAGGAGACATACAATACAAACTCAAATTACCACTCCATTATGATTTATCTTTGCTTTATATAAGCTGTTTACCATTAGCAGCATTTTCCATGTAGAAACCTTTTATATTGCCGAAGTGCATTAGCCATGATGTTTATTTCTACTCCTTGCTTGTAAAGGGTCGGAGGCTACAAAACAGAACTCTCAACTGCATTAGGAGCAACTATTGTCGTCCAGCACTAATTTGTCCTTCCTTAAATGACTTCTATACAGCAAGCAGCTTCGAAAATGTGAGCAAGAGCTACCAAGGGACAAGTGAAATACAACACAGCATTACAGGAAAGCTAGTTTCCAATTTCATGAAGGCAAGGGAAGATGGGCCTGGCTAACACTGTAAAACATGCAGAGACAAATAGCACACACTCTCAGCCCTGTCCAGCCTTATGTGCAAGGAGCTGAGGTCCCTTTTGCACCTTCTCAGCAAGTCAGCCCTCAAGGAGCTACCATTCTCAGTCACGGGGGCTCCATCACCAAGAGTCAAGCTTACTATCTCTCACCTTCAGGGCCCAAGATAGTCTCATCCATTTTTCCCCCCTGCTGAGTATATCTGTTGCACTGGTTCTTTTCAGGTTTCAGGGCTGCCATCTTAGTTTATTTACCTCACCTTTCCTTGAGTATTCCAGCTGCCACCAGCTACCTCCAGGCTGCTTTCCTGAATCTGAACTCTTCTCTACCTTGAACTCATCTACTAAACTTGTATCTGACTCCTGTCTCAATTTCAGGACCTTCTATCATTTAAGGTAAAGTATTATAATGAAGCAATTTAAAACACTGGGGTGATGGCCAAAAGATGGCACTTCCGATTGATGACTGTTCTTGACTAGCTGCAGGATTCTCCAGAAAATTGTTTCTTTGATTTGCACCTCCTTCAGCTGTAAAGTAATAGAAATAACGCTTCCTTCTCCCCCTCTCCGGGGGATGGTTGTTAGGAATAAGAGACAATGTAGGCAAAGTGTTGAGCACAGTGTCCATCACTAACTGTAACAAGTAGTAGTTGCTGTTGTTGCAAAATTTGGCTTCATTCTAGCCTTGAAAATCACATCTTTTAAGAGTATATAACAACAAGGGCCCCTGGGGGGGCTCAGTCACTTAAGGTGTTAGGCGTCCGACTCTATATTGGCTCATGTCATGATCACACTGGTCATGAGATCAAACCCCATGTAGTCCTCTGTGCTGACAGAGTGAAGCCTGCTTGGGATTCTCTCTGTCCCTGTCTCCTTCTCTTTCTGCCCCTCCTCCTCTCATGTTCTCTTTCTTAAAATAAATAAACATTTTTAAAAAGAGTGTACAACAACACAATAATAGTAATAGTAGCTAACCTTTGTTGAGTACTCCCTAGGTATCTGTGCTAGTGTAAGTGCTTTACCTACATCAACCCATTAATTCTCAAAATAGTCCCTTAAAATAGAGGATGGCCACCTCCATTTTACTAACAATTCAAGTGTGGCACAGAATGATCACATAATGCCTATGTTACACCAGTGAATGGGGGAGCTGGGGCTCCAATCTTGTATATTTGGCTCCAGAGCCTGTGTTCCTGGTCCCTATGCTACAATGGTTCCCTAATGCATTCCCTCCCTTGAACCTGTGGGCTGCTATTTTTCTTTTTTGCAATGTCTTCCCTTTCAACTTCTAGATTTCCATATCTTACACATTGTTCAAGTCCCACTTCAAGTTCCTCCTTTTCCAGAAAACACTTCCAGATCTCACTGCATTTATTTTTTCTGAACTCTAATAACTCTGTATGACATAATATGTTACTTAATTACACACTGCATCATATTATTTTAAAAACTTTCTCATGCATGTTGTTTTCCCTTCATATCCTTCTAGAAATTTGAAGGCCACAACTTCTTTACCCTTCCTATGCACACACAGTACTGAGTCAATTTCAGTACTTTCTCAATGAATACATGGAGATGTTTACATATCGTAATCTTCTGCATAATACAGCTTTCCCTGTATAGTGCCATTTCATGCATTTTATATATGCTATCTCATTTGAAATTGCATGTAATTATTCATATACAAAATTACTAAGTATTTGATAGGTCATGTTATCAGGCTTGAATGGAAAGCAAGCTGACTATCTGGAACCCCTAATCTAACCCAAACACACAATTCCTGAGTCTTCCTAAAAAGAATGAGGAGCTGTGACAGATAAAAACAATATTTTCTAAAGTCTGGGAATAATAAGTTTGATGATCCACAGAATAATTAGATAGGTCCATTTTTTTATTTAAGACGTTTTGAGAACTTATAATTTTCTAAGAAGACAATTTCCTTAAGCATCATACATAAGTAGAGCTCTTACCACCAGGCAATTTCCTCTGACATTTTCTTTAAAATTTCCCATCTTTCCCCTTTCACCAGATGACTCCTCCTTACAGCTTTTGGTGTTTTGCTGAGTGCTTCCTTCCCCCTCCTCTGTGATTATAGCCTCTAACATGGCCAGGCGGTTATAAAGTCCACTCTTTAATCAACATTTGTCCATGTGAGGCATAATTGGTCTTTTCATCTTAGTAGTGATGATGAGCTGTCTATGCAGGATGGCAATATTTTATTACTTCTCAGTAATATCTGCCCTCTAAAATTGAAATAATTTAATGTTTGTACCATTTTGGCAGCCTTTCTGATTCTCAAATAAATTGTGCTAAATATAAATCCATGTTTACTGAGAGACCTCCCACAGTGTTGAAGATATTTTGATTATCTTTGAAATTAGAACAAAGCAGACTTAGATATTGGGCTTTTAAAATGTAATTCTCTGTACAAAGTGCAGCATAAAGTCAATTTCAGTTCTATGTTCCTTCAAATCAAACATCTTCACAGATAGGGGAACTTGCCTTTATCCTTTCTAAGGAGGGCGGACAGCATTCCAAAGCCATACCACTTCTGGCTTCCTGACCAGGTTCCTAACTGTCCAAAGAAGGGAAAATTTATATAATGTTTCCTTATGCTGCCATATAGAAAATATAAATGCCTCAGGTGACACATAGTTGATGTAGCAGTTCTTCAAGCTATAGAATATATCTATTTTATACTTGGGCTTATAAAAGGAATTGATAAAACTTAATCCCTCAGTTCCTAAACTACAGGAAACTGATATAACAAAATTTCTTACATTTTGTTCTCTGGTAATAAAACACCCAATTTCCTACAGGAAAAGAAAAACATATATGAATGCTCCTGTGCCAAGCAGTGGGCTACACAGTTTTCACAGATTTTACTTAATTTTACCTTAGATACTTTGGAGAAATTTTAAGCCTGTTCCATGGGTCAAATAGGTGACTATCTTTTCCTGTGACAAATTGTGAGGATCACAATTTTTAACATCAGGTTGTTGTTTTTTGTTTTTTAAAGGGCCTTGAGAAATATATACATTCTAACTGTGACAACATTAGGGTTACTCAGTTGTAGTTGTTGAACTAGGTCAGGGGAACCCATAAAGGGGCCTGTCTTCTTGCTGTCCCATTTCACTGTAGGGGAAGATCTTCTACCCACTGAAATGAAAATCACCTCAGTTTCTTAGTTTTTCCTGTCACTCTGGGGAAACAAATAGTTATTCCTTTTGCTTTTCATTTTCTTCATTCATTTATTTTTAAATGTTTATTTATTTATTTTTGAGGAGGGGAAGGGCAAAGAGAGAAGGAGTGAGAGAATCCTAAGCAGGTTCTTCCCTGTCAGCGCAGAGCCTGACGTGAACCAAGAAATCATGACCTCAGCTGAAATCAAGAGTCAGATGTTGAACCTACTAAGCCACCCAGGTGCCCCTGCACTTCTTTCTTATTGAAAATATTCGGTGTTTTAAGTTTTTTTTCCCCCTCTCCCCAGCTTGGACCAGTCCCAGCCTGGTACAACTGTCAATGAAGATACTTCTTCTCTGTTATTCATTTCACTTCCTTCCTTCTTCACGGAGGTATTTTTGAAGAGAATCTTCAAAGCCTTACACAGCTGGTGCAGTTATTAGCTGTATCAGAGTATTCTCCAGGGTAGGTGTATAGTCTCTGTTTCCTTCCTGGATGTATTTGTGTTGCTTTCAGAGGTACTTTCTCTAAGTCACCTTCTATATTACAAGTCCCTTCATAAGTCAGTGCCTCCTCCAGTAGGCTGCTTTTCCACCTGGACTACCTGCTCCTCTCCTGGGTCCCTTGTGGTTGAGGTCATCCTCCACGGACATGTCTCTTCAGAACGCCAGATGCGCCACAGTGTTCTAACATGAATTGCTCAGGCTGCCCCAGGATAAAGGACTCCCCCACCCCTGCCATTGAAATGCAACCCCATCCTCTTTACTTTATGGGCAGGTATGCCCTTCCAGTTAATCTTTTGGTTTTTGACTTCCCTTGGTAAAAATCAGATACTAATGCCACAGGAATCTATTTCATAACATCTCAAGATATAAGGTACCTAGTATGGTTTGTTTAAGGCATGAAGTTTGATCAAGGTTATATTTCTCCATATTTTATTAATATATCAAAAGTTCAGAAATGTGAACTCCAAGATGCATATGTTTTATCAAATGAAAGGAAAATTTCTAGTGTCTAGTCCATTGTGCCTTCGCCTGAAACTGCCAATGCTCACCATAAGCCCTTGGTCATAATTGTTGAAGACATTGATGGAGAAGCTCTGAGTGCATTCATTTTGAAATTAGCTCAAAGTTGGTCGTCAGGTTGTAGTAGCCAAAGTTCCAGGTTTTGGAGACAATAGAAAGAAACAGCTTAAAGACATGGTTATTGCTACTGGTGGCACAGTGCTTGAAGAAGGACTGACTCTAAATCTTGAAGATGTTCAGACTCACAACTTAATATAAGTTGAAGAGGTCATCGTGACCAAAGATGATGATATGCTCTTAAAAGAAAAAAGTGACAACTGTCAAATTGAAAAAAGATATTCAAGAAATATATCGAACAGTCAAATATCACAATTAGTGAATATGAAAATGAAAAGCTCGGGGCGCCTGGGTGGCTCAGTCAATTGAGTGGCTGACTTTGGCTCAGGTCATTATCTCACTGATAGTGGGTTCAAGCCCCACATCGGGCTCTCTGCTAACAGCTAGCTCAGAGCCTGGAGCCTGCTTCAGATTCTGTGTCTCCCTCTCTCTGGACCTACGTTGCTTAAGCTCTGTCTCTCTCTCAAAAATAAATAAACATTAAAAAAATTTATGAATGAGGGGTGCCTGGGTGGCTCAGTCAGTTAAGCGTCCAACTTCGGCTCAGGTCATGATCTCACAGTTCATGGGTTTGAGCTCCACATCGGGCTCTGTGCTGACAGCTAGCTCAGAGCCTGGAGCCTACTTCAGATTCCGTGTCTCCCTCTTTCTCTGACCCTCCCTTGCTCATGTTTTCCCTCTCTCTTTCTCTCAGAAATAAAAACATTTTAAAAATTTTATTAAAAAAAAGAAAAGGAAAAGCTCAATGAATGTCTGGCAAAACTCTCAGACAGAGCAGCTGTGCTGAAGGCTGGTTGGACAAGTGATGCTGAAATGACTGAGAAGAAAGAGGTAGAGTTGTCCTCAATGTTGTAGGAGCTGCTATTGAAGAAGGCATTGTTCTGGGAGGGGGTTGCGGCCTGCTTTAGTGTATTCC